CGCGCCACCACGCACCGTCCGCGCCACGAAGCTAACGACACCTCCACCACAGCCGCCGCCCCCTCCCCTCTCAGCCCCGCCCCGCCCGGCCGGCCGCCTGCGCGCATGCGTACACCCCGGGCGCGCGATCCCGCCCCCATACTCTCGGGACTCCGCGCTCCGGCCACGCCCCCTCCCTCACCTAGGCCACCGAACCCGGATAGACGGGCGTCCTCTCTTCTCGCGGGATGAAAGCGCATCGCGAAACCGGAAGCCCCTTCCAAATTCCTCCCCTCCGGTAGCGTACTGATAGTGGAAGGGACCCGGGAGGGGCGGAGCCTGAGGACTGGCAGCCCGCCTCATCCAATCCTGGAAGACTCTGAAAGGTGACTCTAAGGGGAAGGGGAGGAGCTTGCCGGAGCTTCCGGTAGGAAGCGACCGGCCATGCTGCTCTCCGGTGGTTGTGCAAACTGATTGGATGTACGTCTTTTTGTAGTGCGGAAGGACTTCATAAGAGAAAGAAAAACAGAACTTCTGTATCGAGCTGCGATTTTTTCCCAACTCAGATGTTTTAAGTTTTTCTTATTAAGTCAGACCTCAGTCAAGTAGATTTTGTGTGGGTGTAGCTGGAAAAAACCAAGGTCTTGAATTAATTTTAAAGAAATACAAAAAGAAAGACATGACTTCTAGTATGATGGAGGAGGTTTGTTGTAGATATGAGGGAGAGCATAGCCAGAGTCCAGAGTTAACATAACCCTGTGTGAGGAGCGTGGGGAGAAAGAGAAGAGACCGGAAGGTTAGAGAGTTAAAAAAGGACCGGGTAACCAAAATATCTGCATTATATAGGTAAGGGCAGCCCAGGCCCACCATACCTTGTAATAGGCAGAGACTGAGGGACGTTAGAAGAACCTGGCAGCCAGGTCTGCTTGAATAGGCACCTCAGCCATTTGTCCTGGGGTTGAGACCTGAGTAAGAGAGCACTCAAACAGTCTGTCGAGCTACATCTTCAGTCGTCGTGGGGATTGTTTAAATTTTTGTTTGTTTTCAAGACACGGTTTCTTTGTGTAACGTTGGCTGTCCTAGAACTAGCTCTGTAGACCAGGCTGGCCTCGAACTCACAGACACCCACCTGCCTCTGCCTCCTGAGTGCTAGGATGCGTGTACCCCGCATCCAGCAGATTATTTAAACTTAAAAAAATTGTTTCTCACATAGAATGTGTTTCCCGAGGACAGGAACTTTCTTTTTATTAAAACTGCCTTAGCACTGAAGGCATGTAGTTAGTTCTCACAAAGTACATGGAAGATGAGAATGTAGAAAATAAATTACAGAAACTGATTAATGGTCATTTGAGACACCAAAAGAAATCTAGAAAAATGTGAAGAGGGTGCCACTGAATTGTTCAGTAATGTATGTAAGGGTGTGACCAAAACTAAATTTATAAAGACTCATTGGGGGCTGGAAAGATGAGTCATCAGTTAAGAGTGCTTCTTGTTCTTCCAAGGAACTTGTGTTCAGTTGCCAGCACCCACTTCAGGCCACACAAGCACCTGTGAATTCAGCTCCCGAAGAGCCCAGCTATGTAGTTTGTCATCTCTAGATCATTTATTAAGTAATACAATGTAAATGTTTTGCGAACATTCGTTGTATTGTTTAGGAATAACCACCCCAATATTCTGTGCATGTTAAGAATATTTTTTTCTGGCTGGGCAGTGATGCCTATGCCTTTAATTCCAGCATTCGGGAAACAGAGACAGGCCTTTGTGAGTTCAAGGCCAACTATAGAGCAAGTTCAAGGATAGCCAGAGCTACACACTATCTTAAAAAAAATTTTAGCTGGATCTATAGCTGTGGAGTCCCTGTATATGCTGTGCTGACTGTTTTTGTCTCTTTTGTGGTGGTATTTCTTTTGTATTTTAGTAAATAAAGCTTGCCTGAAAAACAGGCACACTGATCATCAGCCTGATCACATAGATCAGGCAGTGGTGACATACACCTTTAATCCCAGTAGCCACACTAGTTTGCCCTAGAAAACCCGCTGCTGGTGGTGTATGCCTTTAATTCCAGTCCTAGAGAGGATTATAGTCTTATAATCTGTTAGTCAGTCTCATTCTGAGGATTCCTGGAGGCTGGATCGCCATTTCAGACTAAAGTAGAGGTAAGATCTAGTAGCCCTCTGTTTTGCTTTACTTTTTCTTTTTTTAAAGCTGACTAGAAACAAGCCAAGCTAAAGCTGGGCATTTGTATACAGTTTTCTGTCTGCATTTATCCCTGCAGGTCAGAAGAGACACCATATCTTATTATAGATGGTTATGAACCACCATGTGGTTGCTGGGAATTGAACTCAGGACCTGTGGAAGACCTGCCAGTGTTCTTAATCTCTGAGCCATCTCTCCAGCCTTGTTTTGCTTTTCTGACCTTCAGGTTGAACCCCAATATCTGTCTCTGGGTTTTTATTAATCATGTTTCACTCTTTCATAGTACAGGTTTCTCTAGTCCTGACCACTGGCTTCCAATTGATAGATCAAAGTGCCGTCTTTCTCACAGGGACTTGTCAAATGCTGACATCACTGGATTTGTCTGGGTCATCTATCATGAGCTTGTTCAGTTTCAGAGAGGGAGTACTTATAATCCAGGGCCTTCATATGTGACTGTGCAAACTAGCTACTGCACAGCTCTAATATGTGCTTTAAAAGCTCCCCAGAGCATCACACCCATCCCTGCTCTCAAAATCTGCCAGCCACTAGCCATTGGGAGTGGAGGAAGAAAGCCAGGACATGAGAAAGGACAAATCTCAGCATCCATTATGACATTTTGCTGAATCCTCTTTTGCCTGAGGTCCTCTGTGTCTGTTGGATTACCCTTTTGTCATCCCATGCCGGCTCCTTCTTGCTAACAACACTCCCTGCTTGTTTCTCTGTTTCTAAGTCTTCTAAGTGGATTGAACAGGAGTGAAGGGGAACTAACTGTATGCAACCAGGAAGGAGCAGTCAGGGCTTGTGCTTGAGCATACATCCTTGTCTTAGCCTCTGCCTAACCCTCATCTCGAGAGAGCTGCTCCTGCCAGTCCCTAAATGCGCAGCAATGCGGTTTTGCTTGCAAATGGCCGGGTCCTTTTGGAGCAACCATTTGTGCCTCCCTCCATCTTCCTGTCTCTTTGACTTTATATTAAGTAAAGCAACTTCCAGGCCGGTTCTCCCGTCCCAGAGATCGAGGCCAGAGAAGTTGCACACCAGAACAAAAGCAGGGAGGTTTTACTGATTGTAGGCAAGGGGTAATGACATGTCCACCACAAGTTGGGTTTGTGCCCAAGTATGGTCCAAAGCTGAGCGCTTAGGTGGGGACTTGGACTTCTGGCAGCTTCGGGTGGGGGCGGGGGGCGGAGCTGCAATGGCTGGCAAGAGTGAGAACTGGGCTTTTTGACACCTTTCCTTTGCTGGGAGATTCTCTGAGTGGGTGGGGATTTGAGAAAGAGAGAGAGAGAATGGTGTTTGCAGGACTATGTGGGGAGAACTGGATGCTCCAACTGAACAAATTTTATTTTCTACGTTTTCATCAACCATTCCCTTTCCCTTTGCCCTTGTGTGTTTTGTTTGTTTGATTTTTTTTAAAATGGAGATTGATACATTTCCACTCCCCTACATTGAATGTTTTTGTGATTGTGACTGAACACACTACATCCCAATGTCCTTACTTAAAGAAGCTTATGTTTTTGATATACTGTGAATGGGACACACAGCCTTCCTTGTGCGGGACAAGTGGTCTGTCACTCACTTCTCCAGCTGTCTTTTATTTTCAGATGGGATCATGCT